ATTATGCTATATTAACTTAGTACAATATAATAATTTTTTATCTTAATTGCATTTGTCGTTGATACTCAGTTAATCAGTTTTGATTAATTCATAACCTATTCCTATATTATTGGCTATCTTCTTTTTCTTTGTTATGAAGTTGTCGTTACCTTGTGTGTGTAATTTGCAGCCTTTACATAGAATTTAGGAGCTAATCTTATACATTGCTAGTTAAGATCTTTATTGTTTATAGGTTCTACAATTCTAATCCTTCATCGCTGAGTCCTTTACTTGGAATGGTTACATCATCCGCGTTTGGTATCTTCTGGTTCTTCGTTACATGTCTAACACTTATCAAGACTACTTTTACTTATCCTAGAGCTGTAAGTATATATATGACGGGTTTACATTAGGTAAGTATATATATATATATATATATACTTACTTATATATATATATATACTTATATATTATATATATACTTATAATATACTATAATATATATACTATATATATATACTTATATATATATATATATAAAACACTATATTTTGTAAATATCTGTATAGTAAAATAGTCTGTCCACTATCTTGTTTGCTAAGACCGCTTTGCTAACATCGAATTGTTCTGTTATAATGTCAGAATATTTCCTTGGTTTTCCAGTTTCTTGTTGCTGCCTTGACTGTTTCGATAGTATCTGGTTCAGTATTCCGTAAGTATTCACTTAAGTTTGGTAGTAGGGTTCTTGTAACTGCGTCGGTTTTAATGTATATCTTCCGATGTGAGTAACGAGCTACTTATTATTATCTATTTCTATTCCAAGATGGTTTACAACATTCTTCCCCTTTTTAGGTTATAATTGGTTACCTCGGTATTTATTACCTTCGATATCTTCATACCGTCGTATATTATGTTTTGCAAATTTGGATCCGTAGCCAATTCTCGTGGAGTTCCTGCGTGCACACTTCCTTCAACCTCCAAACTTCCTTTTGCAAATTTGGATCCGTAGCCAATTCTCGTGGAGTTCCTGCGTGCACACTTCCTTCAACCTCCAAACTTCCTACAAACCTCGTTAACTTATAAGATACCTTTTCTTGTTTGCTAAGACCATTCCGTTGGTGTTGAATCGTTTCTTATAATGTCACTAATTTTTAACTTTCTACTTTCTCACGTCTTCTTGACCATTCCAGTAGTATCAACTTCAATTCTTCGTACACATTTACTCCAATTTGGTAGTTGGTTTCTCATCACTGCGTCGACCCTTGTATAAACTTCTTCGATGTGAGTAGTAAATTATCGTTCTCACTCTCTTAACCTATCTTAGTTGTTTCTTAACTCTTTCTGCACTTATTAACTGATTTTATTTCTTCTTATTAAGGGCTGCTATGTCAACGCTGAGTTATTTCGTTATAATGTCACTAACTTTCTTGACTTTTTCAGTTTTATTTTCCATTAGCGAACTGTAAGTTTGTTGTCGAGTATCAATTATTGATTGTTGTGCTTCGTTTAGTTTAATCGAAATATAATTGTAAATTTTTAATAGTATTATTTTCTTCCATATATATTAAGGCAATTGAGGTTAGTTTATTTATTCGTTTCTGCTGACAGTCGCATACCACGTTCTATGGAGTGGGTCCACAGCCCACCTCTGAGAAATTCCTGCATGTACGTTTCCTTCTACGATAATTAATTGTGCACTAGGTGCTATTAACTTTCATTGGTTTTAATTATTTTATTGAATTAACATGTGTATTCAAATGATGGTCAAAACACACACATAGTAATTTTCCTTCCTCTTTCACGTTTCTACTATCTGCATGATTCGATAAGTAGTGTCACACTTCCTTTGGTTTAGGCACAATATTGTTATAAACATTTAGTAGTATTATGTTTTGTATCGAAACAATTAAAGTTAATTCCTACATTTGTTTCAGCTGGCTGTCCTAGATTATGTTCTATGGATATGGACACATAACCTGTCTTCGCATATACACTTCCTTCTACGATGAGTAATTGTTCACAAGGTATTCTCCACTTCCACTGTTTTGTAATTATTTTATTGAATTACACATTTTATATTTAAGTAATAGTTAGAGCACGCATAGTAATTTTCCTTTTTCCTTTTAGGTTACCACTATCTGCAGTATTCGACAAGCAGTGTTGTTCCATATACTACCGTACTACGTTGTCTCTTGAAATCGTTCTTGTGGTCTGTTTCGATTGTGTTAGTTGTAACTTGTTTGAGTGTATTGTTCGTGGAATCCCTTTTACTTTAATCTTGACGTTTCGTGTGTTGATTCTGACAATAGTGCCTGGTTTGTCGAAGTGTGAGAATATGCCTAGGTGTTTTATATATTTTATATCCCGTTGTATATAAGATATATTTTGTTTATTGTGGTTTTGTATGTCCATATGTGCTATAGATTAGATTGTTCGATATTTCATATTTGTTATAAAAGTGTGTATTCCTATCGTTCCATTCCTTTTTCCTTTCCTTTTGGATTATTCATGGTGTTATTGCGAGATTTGATTAAATTATCGAATTGTAGGTTATCCTGATTGAATATAATATTATGTCGTGATTTATTAATTAATTTGTGAGTCACTTTTGGTTAATTGGTCCTTCATAGTTTATCCTTAGTCGAATTATGAAATTATAAGTTATGTTGTACTCTTTATATTTACTATTTCGTTAGAGTACCTATTTTAACTTTATTATCTCTTATTTGCCCTCGTATACTAATTCTCTATATATGACTACATTTAATTAAACTTTTATTTAAACAATTTCAATTTTCGTTGTATCGTTCATTCGTTTTGAATATTCAAATTGTCGCTCGCGTTATTTGCATATTGCTGTTTTCCGTTTTTCGGTACGGCACGTGCGTAGTGCGGGACGTGACACCCCATAAAACATTTTGACCAAGCATTAGCAGAAATCGATTTAAGTACAGATAGAGGAATAACCAATCGAGAAAAAGAAGACACTGATACAACAAGCGAAGAAGAGCCCTCCACTGTAATTCCAGAACTAATTCAACAACGAGAAAAGGACACGAGACCTACGATAATTGCGGAACTAAAAATTTCAGAAACCCGAGACTCAATTACCAGAGTAAATGAACATAAAGTAATATTCATAGATATACATGGCAATCCGATAGATAAAGGAGCCTTAGAAATGAAGGAGACGGGGAAATTGCCTCGTTATGAAGATTTAATGTTAGAAAAAGCAAGATTGAATTACGATTCTGGAAAATACATTGTATTCCTACCGATAAAGGAAAATAGAAATATTCCAATAACACCAGAAAATTTATTAAATTCGCTAAGATCTCTATTAGACGTAGTAAATGAAAAACAGTTAACTTCGTTCAGCATTAGCAAAGGAAACTTGGAGGAAATACCCTGGCGATATACAATCAGAAAATTAAAGGAAATGTTTATGGAAAGACCTTAACCATCACCATTTGCACCGGGGAAGTAATTACCCCACCTGTGGAAGCGCGAAATAACATAATACGGGAAAAACATGAATCAAGCGTAGCAGGACACAAAGGAATTACAAAAACTTATCAAAGAATACGACAACACTACTAAAATATGAAAAGGGAAATTCAAGACTAGGTAAGAACGTGCAAAGAATGTCAATTGAAGAAACTCACAAGAATAAAAGTAAAGCAACCAATGGTACTTACAGACACACCAGGTAAAGCGTTCGATAAAGTTAGTATGGATATTGTAGGTCCATTACCAAAAACTCAAAAGGGAAATGAATATATATTAACTATCCAAGATTTAGTAACAAAATACTCAATCGGGATTCCAATAGGAGGAATCTCTTCAGCCGAGATAGCGGACGCTTTTGTAAAGCGATTTATTTGTCGTTTCGGGTCACCGAGAGCTATTCTCACTGATCAAGGAACGAACTTTACATCCTCACTAATGAAGAAAGTAGCAAAGAGATTCCGCATCAAACAATATACCACGACGGCATATCATCCACAAAGTAACGGTTCAATCGAAAGATCTCACCACTTACTGATTGAATATCTCAAATTATAAATTGAAAATTCCAGAAATTGGGATGAATGGGTGGAATTAGCTATGTTTTCCTATAATACCTCTGTACAGGAAGGAACGAAATTCTCCCCGCACGAATTAGTTTTTGGACATCTAGCCAGAGAACCTACTGGTGAAGTAATAATCGAAGAGAACATGGAACCAACATACGCAGAATATCTCGAAGATCTGTTCGATAAAATTAACACCGTACAACGAATGGCAAGAGAAAATTTGATAAAATCCAAACTAAGATCAAAAGAATATTACGACCGACGAACCAACCCTCAAAATTTTGAAATAGGAGATTCGATATATCTACTAAAAGAACCTAGTAAAGGAAAATTCTCCGATCAATATACTGAACCACATAAAGTGCTAGAAATCTTGCAGAACCAAAACGTCAAGATTGAAGTAAAAGGGATTCCGCGAACAGTGCACTTAAACAAGCTAAAACTAGCGCATAATCGAAACATAACATAAACAATGAATAAAGTGATTTTAGTGGGCAACGAAGTGCAGTAGTGTATGTTGTAGTGCTGTTCGTCGAATAACACAGATAGCGAAAACCTAAAAGGGAAAAGGGAACATTATTCTATGTGCTTCAATTATTGTTTGAATATAAAACGTGTTAACTCAATGAATAATTAACTAGTGAAAGTGAAAATTACCTTGTGAACAAGTAATCAACATACAAGAAAGTGTATGTGCAAATATAGGTTATGGATCCTTGTTTGTGGAACGATGTATAACAGCTACCTAAAATAAGTGAATAAATTAGTTTCAATTGTCTCAGTGCAAAATACAAGGTTACTAAATGCTATAACTATATTGTGGTTAAATCAAAAGGAGGTGTGACACTGTTCGTCGAATAATACAGATAGCGGAAACCTAAAAGAAAAAAAGGAAAATTATTATGTGTACTCCAATTATTGTTTGAATATAAAACGTGTTGATTCAATGAATAATTAAAAGGGTGAAAGTGAGAGTTACCTTGTGAACAAGTAATCATCATACAAGAAGGTTTACGTGCAAAATAGGTTATGGATCCCTGTTTGCGGAACACCATGTATGACAGCCAGCTGAAAATAAATGAACGAATTAACTTCAATTGCCTTAATACAAAATACAACGTTACTAAATGTTATAACAATACTGTGGAAGCGTGACACTGTTCGTCGAATAACACAGATAGCGGAAACCTAAAAAGGAAAAGAAGATTATTACGAGTGCTCCAATTACTGTTTGAATGTAAAACGTGTTAGTTCAACGAATAACTAAAACAGTGAAAATGCAACTTACCTCGTGAACAATCAATCACTGGTGTTCTTTCATCTCCGACACATATATGTAATCAAATAATTGACATATAACCTCAAATACACAACATTACATCGCTAAAGAATCTAAATTAAAATCACACTGCTAGAAATATATACATGTCGGAGATGAAAGAACACCGGAGCCTTTGGAATTTTGGATAATCACGCAACATTGTAACCTAGAGTCTACTATAGCAGTAATTAAACAATTGTAGTTATTCAATCCGATTGTAATTGTTCGAGATTGGTGATAGTGAGCTCTGGCTCGAGGCGACAGTCTGTCGCCCAACGTAGCCGCGGCCAAGGGATGAACGCTTTGTCTAACAAAGGTATGGAGTAATCCTATAGCTCTCCTTAAAAGAAATATTCGTGGCGACACGCGACA